CAACCATCTGAGAGACTGAACTGGAACCCATATGCTTTTAACACTATTAGCTACAAAGCCCGCTTGGGACAAATCTGATTTCACGGCCATAGACTGGGAATAACAGTCAGGAAATGTAGGACATACGCCTAGGCCATCATCCAAATAAACAACAATTCTAATTGCCTGGAGACGCCAATAACGTATTAAGGGCCTCAGAACTTTTGTGAAAATATACGGCCCGGTAGAAATACCGAATGGCAAAACAGTAAATTTATAAAATCGAATAACCCCATCCTTAGACCAGGAAAAGCCTAAAAACTCTTGGTCTGGGGGAAAAATGTCAATATGATGATAACCAGATTTGATATCAAAGGAAAATAGCCAATTCTGAGAACAATCGATAAAGGAATAAAGCATGGTTTTCGCGTCCTCGAATTTAATCTTGGATTTCTTAACAAATTGATTCGGATAACGTAAGTCTAATATGAGCCTTTTCTTACCATTAGCCTGAATGGAAACGGATAGGGGGTTAACCACAGTAGGGGCACACCCACATTCAACCACTGAGCCTGCTATAAGAAGATCAGAAATAGCTTGTTCCACAAATTCACTATGCTGAATGGCAGATCGATTATTGCCAAAGCTAGCTGCGGGTGGAGTGTAAATAAAGGGGATCTTATACCCATATACAATGGTATCGCGAATGAAACGAGAAGCACCTATATGCTCCCAAAAAGCTATATTGCGCTTAAGACTACCTTTAACTTTAACGATAGGAACTCCCTCCTGATATTCGGGACTTATTACATCACTAGATAAATCAGACGCATCAACAGAGTTCTCGACAAGTTCCACTGGGTCAAAGTCATTTAAACATGTAACCAAATTCAGTAAATTATACTCATCTTTCCCTAATCTCTGTAATGCAACATTGCGTTTGTCGTCAGTTTGCGGCCTTGCTACTTGAAGGGACTGCAACGGTTCCTCTAAGGCGGCTGGGGCAGGAAGTTGAATTTGCCCAATGACCTCTCTGTCCGCAACTGAAGCACTTGTCCGAAGGTTGAGGTCGACGCTCGCGAAAGGACTGCCCACGAAAAAGCTGCTGATTAACAGGAAGAGTATTGGAAGAACGAACAGAAGAAGCTTCACTCGATGGCTGACGGGTACTTGTATAGCTAGGTCGGACAGACGAATTCCTACGCTTCTTCTCGCGGATCTTGGCCAATGCCCGTCTTTCTGCTGAACGAAGCCTCTTTTCATCCTCAGAATCCTCCGCCAACTCATCTGATTCGTACTCTTCAACGGCTGTCCAGCCCGCAGGACTCTTATCCGCAAAGCGAATAAGCTTGTTTCGTTTTGTAATAAGTGTCTTTACCGATTCAAGTTCGGAAATCGCTGCTGAAAGGTTCCCTTTTGAGACGTTCTTAATGGCACCGTCCACTAAGTCGTGCAAAGAGATGTTAAGTTCGTACTGTACTTTGTTGCCCTTGAAAGTAAAGGAATT